ACCCTTCACTTCGCCCCTCCATTAAACCCGGCCTTGGTCCCTCCCCTCAGCCCACCCTCAGCCCTGCCCTCCACTCCACCCTTTGCCCCTCCCCTAACCCCGCCCCTCGCCCCTGGTACGAGCAGACGAAAGATACGACTTTTCTCTCCTCTTCCTTCGAAAAGGACGCAGATAATCCCCTGGCCCGTCAAGATAACGACAACGTAGATAATCTCCTCTTCCATGACGATGATGATGATGATAACAACGACATGGACAATCCCCTCACCTCCCCAGACATCGGCCGGGCCCCGCTGTGTAGCCTCATCGCAAAGTCCGTGTATACAGTCGCTCAGGTCACCGATGACCAAACACATACACACACTGGTGACCATCTACACACACACAGCCAACACATCACTAATGACCACCCACACACACTCACTGACGACCATATACACACACACAGCCGACACGCACACTCCATCAAACGGCTAGAGAACATGGAGGTCCCCTTTCGGAGTCAGGCTGCAGCTGCTTTGTCGCCACCACCGCCCCCAGAAGAGAAGAACAACAACAACAACAAGAAAATGTCCCCAGAAGGTAAAGAATTCTCCTCTCCTTCAGTGTCTCAAACGCGCGTTTTAGAAGAAAAACAAGACGGGGATTCCCCTACTACCGCAGCTGCTTCCCATTACGTCATTCCGGGTTTTCCCCAAAGTCACCCCCACCACCACGACAACGACAATTCGGAAATTCCCGATAGGCCTAGCTCCCGTTCGGAAAACTATAGTTATTCTAATCATCTTTATCAAAGACAGACGCCTCTTTGGGGAACCCCCTCTGTCTCGGACTCGGCTGTTCAAGGTCGTCCTGATCGCCCTGTGTCCGACAGGGATGGACTTGATGACGTCATTACCACACCCCTGTCATCATCGTCACTATCGTTGTCATCGTTTTTGTTGAGTAGTTGGGAAGACAGAAGACAGACGATAGAGGCAAGTGTCAGAGAAAGACAGTTTGCTAACCTGGTCAGCGCTATGGAGGCCGCGGATCTAGAGACGCTGGTGAGTTGTTACAATGATAATAATAATGATGATAATGATATAAATGATAATAATAATAAGAATAATAATAATAATAATAATAATAATAATAATT